CCATTTACACTAAGAGGACATGTGACATCATTTGCATAGAAATGAAAGTTATATGATTTTGCCTTCGAGAAACGATTATTGGGTCATATCTTAAACAAAATAATAGTAATTTGGTTTGTCAAACCTGCAGCATTTTCTTAAAATGAGTAAGTTCGTACCTGGTCACGTGACCAAAATGTGATTTTAAAATTATTATTACCTCTTCTGAACACAAATTTTGCACTTAAACTTCAAGGAAAATGTTGAAAAGATGATGTGGTAACGTTTACAGCACATCTGAGCGTAACTATCAAACGTTTAACAAGATACAAGCAAAAAGTAGTTTTGGCCGCCATGTTGGAGGGCAGGAGTATGCCCTCCAACATAGCGGCCAATACAAATCATACTACTTTGTTGAAAAATCAAAGTACCATAAAATATCTCCCTTAAATGCGTTTCTTCTCAAATTTCGGGTGTAAGATAATTTTTATGTGCTCTGTCAATTTTTGGCATCAGGAAGATTGCAACTCATTGTTTAAAGGAAGCATTGGTTACGTGACCTCTTAGTGCAAGTGGACTTTTATCGGAAGTTTCGTCTTTACAAATGAAAGCCTCTCATTATTCAAGGATATTGTCTCCAAGTTTCATTCTCACGTGATAAGCAGTAACTAACAATGCATTTAAAATCTGCAAAAATGCTAGCTATTGTTGTGCACGAAAATATGAAACTTAGAGTCAATACCCTGAATAATGAGAGGCTGTCACTTAAAAACAAAAATTTCTGACAATATATCGATAATCTTGAAGCTAAAAGGTCATATGAAAGGACGGTTAATCTCAAAAATCTTTATTTTTTTAAAAAATCTATCTAGTGGTTTAAACATTATTCGCTAATTTGTTAAAGTAAACCGAAATGTTTCCAAAACCGCTAACAAGAGCGCCTCGATACATAGTAATCAAATCCTTCTTTCTAGCAATCGGCTGGAGCTATCTCCTTGATCTTTCCCTCACGGTTTTAATAAGATTGAAACTACTATGAGGTGAGATTGCATGTCAAAAGCGCTTCGTTTTTTATGTATAACAACCTAACATCAAGATTGTCCATTTTTTACCGTTTTTCTAACCATAAAAACGTTATCCCCAAATATCTCGATCTCTTGCAGATCGATTCCGCTTAAACTTCGAACGAACGTCGAGGCGGCTAGCTATTGGAGGCGGAAACAGCTCCCGTGAACGATTTTGGAAGAACAGTTCCCAGTACAGCGAAATTCTGCTGCAAGTAAAATAGGTAAAGGCGTCATTTTGTTGTTTTGACAACTCCGATGTCATTGCAACCCTGATCATAACAAATTTTCATCTTTATTTAATACGTTCTATGATGGCAATTTTTCCAAATCTTTGTTTATGCCGACGTAAGTTATACTCAAACTTTGGAGGTATTGACCTTGAAAAACTATATCGAGCCGCTTCAGAATGTTACACGGAATTGCTCACGGGCTCTATTTTCTTAAGTGTTTCCGAACCTAAATTGGAAGGACTGACACGAGCAAACCAGGTATCAGAAATTAAGGATGCGATCCTCTTGGATGATCCCGATGAGAATGAGTGATCCGAGATCACTCGGATAACGTTGCATAAAATAAACCGATGAATCAACTCTGGACAAGGATTCATCGGCTCAAAACATGTACCATAATCCAAATGATCTCGGATTACTGATCCTGATCCGGATCGATCATCCCAAAGGAACGCACCCTTAACCCTCGGACGTACACGCAAATTCATACCCCCACCGTGGTATAAGTTGGGGGGGGGGGGGGGGTTGAAGGA